CAGAGAACTGAAACTATGAGCTAAAAGAGACTAAAAAGCTCCACAGAGTAATTTTTCTACCATGCTTTAAGATTAGTGTTGCTGCTGAGGTCCAGGCAGGGGTTTCATAGTAAAAGTGAGTGGTGGGAGTGGTTCTTTTCCCCCCTGATTTTATTCATTAGCGGGCTTAGTGCGCTGGGTCAGCATGCAGCATTTAAATCCAGAAACACCGTTTAATTTACGCTGCAGAGAGGCAGAGCCTTTCTGGATTGTTGGTTTCCATAATTGTCAAGCAGCCTCCACCCCTCCCCTTCCCCCTGAAAACAGAGAATCATGGGAATTTAATTATGATGGGATTCTGGCTCTTGACCCTGCAGGGCTGAGGCGGTGCTTGATGGGTGAGCCGTCATTTAGAACGAAGAGGCACCCGGTGTTCACCCAGGAGCTCCGAACACACTCCCTCCCTGCATTATGTACAGTTTGCCCTTCATCAGACACACGTTCATAAGCAGAGCTTCGACTTCCTCTGGTCTGAAGATAGTTTGATGATGGTAGCACCCGCTCTGAAGTCACGCAGTGTCCCCGTAAATCATGAAGGACAGCAACAGGTGCTCCTAAAATAAAACTCATGTTTTTATGCAATCAAGTTAATAATCAAAGGTCAATAAGCTCCAGGCTATGAATCAGGATCGAGCACTGTGTGAAACTCTGGATGTTTTTCTATGTTTTTGGAGGTTTAATTTAGTTTAAGTGAAATTATTATAAGTGCTTTATCTTCAATATTTCTCGTGATAATCTGGGGCCCTTTTTCTATTTTTTTCCTGCTTTTTGGGACAATTCTTCTTCTTAGACACCAAAATAAATGTTTTCCATAAAATGTATTTATATTAATGTATCTTTTAAAGAAAAGTAAAAAAGGGTTTTTTTGACACCATTTTGTTTTTAAATTCTTTAAATTTTTTTATTTTTCCAATTTTTTGTATTTTAAAAAAACTTTTTTTAAATATATTTTTTAGAAATATCAGTTTGACCAGTGTTTTCTTCCTCTTTGTATATCATTTTACAGATTTTGTTTATTAATGGTTATTAATATAAAGTAACTGGAATTTTTTGTCTAGCTTTCTTCAGATTTTATTTATATTTTTCAAACAAGTTTTCAGACATTTGTGGGGTGAATTTTTCTTTCCTTTAGCTGCTTTTTGAACATTTTATTATTCTCAACTCATTTTCAGTTTGGACCTGCAGGTTTTAATTAGGCTTCATTAATGTTAATGTTGATTAATTCGGTCGCTTCCTCTAAAAACTTATTTCTGGATCCTTTCCCAAAAACATCACCTGGAAAAAAGCAGCTTGAAGCTCCACTTTGGTAAAAATGTCCAGCTTTTTTCCACTGTGAGAAAACCTTTTATTAAATATTTTCCTTTACAGTTTGTCCCTCTCGTTTCACTGCTTTCATGAGAAAACTTCAGTCTCATCATTGTTTCTCTGAATCTCTGCGCTCAGCGGCTGGTTTACTGCACAGATCGGTTTAACCTTGATCCGTTAGCCGGCCCTTGTAAACAGTAGTTTTAATTAACGTGAGCTCATCCGACTCGGGCCGTCAGCTGCCTGCAGCAGCTCACAGATGAAAACGATCCTCGGTTATCTCTAGTAGAGAAACTTTGGAGAGCAAAGGTGTTTTCAATCTCTTCATCTGGAAGTGCGGGGCTTCCTCAGCCCGCCGTTCGCCTCGGGGCGCTTCCTTCCATCCTTACCTTCCGTCCTTCCTCTCCTCGGACAAGGCCATTGATTATCCAGAGCAGAGCCGGAGGGGAGCTTCGGCTCTGCTGCTCTGAGACGATCCCAATTAGCCAAATGACTGGAGTTGAGGAGGAGCAAATGGTTGTTCCCTGGCGGGCCGGCCGTGACCGCTCTCCGACTGATTAAACCCCTCATCATCATCATCTTCTTCTTCTGCTGCCGCCGCTCGTCATGAACGGCTGCTTCCAGAAACCCTCGCCCGTGTTGTGAGTGATTACCGAGCTCACTGCTGAGATTTTGTCTGAGCCCGACGCCGCGCAGGTTTGGATGGAGGAAAGCATTTCCGGGTCACACCAGCAGAGACGGTGGAATCCTGGGAATTATCAGGCACGCTGGAGGCCATCCTTTGATTAAGTGATTACCCGGTGTCGCCTCCTCTTCCCTGCTGATCGGGGTTAATTGTAAACAGAAGCTGCTTGTAGTCTGATCTGCTGTGGTGATGATACTCAGCCCCCCTCCCATCCCGTCTGTGCGCCCTAACGGTTTCCAAATGTGGCTGACATGTCAACGAACAAATGTGAACATGTGGCGAGGCATGGAAGCAGTCGTACAGAAACACAGAGGATTTTCAGCTCCACGAGGTTTACTCAGAAATCCAATCAAGTTTTACAGGGAGTGCAGAATTATTAGGCAAGTTGTATTTTTGAGGAATAATTTTATTATTGAACAACAACCATGTTCTCAATGAACCCAAAAAACTCATTAATATCAAAGCTGAATGTTTTTGGAAGTAGTTTTTAGTTTGTTTTTAGTTTTAGCTATTTTAGGGGGATATCTGTGTGTGCAGGTGACTATTACTGTGCATAATTATTAGGCAACTTAACAAAAAACAAATATATACCCATTTCAATTATTTATTTTTACCAGTGAAACCAATATAACATCTCCACATTCACAAATATACATTTCTGACATTCAAAAACAAAACAAAAACAAATCAGCGACCAATATAGCCACCTTTCTTTGCAAGGACACTCAAAAGCCTGCCATCCATGGATTCTGTCAGTGTTTTGATCTGTTCACCATCAACATTGCGTGCAGCAGCAACCACAGCCTCCCAGACACTGTTCAGAGAGGTGTACTGTTTTCCCTCCTTGTAAATCTCACATTTGATGATGGACCACAGGTTCTCAATGGGGTTCAGATCAGGTGAACAAGGAGGCCATGTCATTAGTTTTTCTTCTTTTATACCCTTTCTTGCCAGCCACGCTGTGGAGTACTTGGACGCGTGTGATGGAGCATTGTCCTGCATGAAAATCATGTTTTTCTTGAAGGATGCAGACTTCTTCCTGTACCACTGCTTGAAGAAGGTGTCTTCCAGAAACTGGCAGTAGGACTGGGAGTTGAGCTTGACTCCATCCTCAACCCGAAAAGGCCCCACAAGCTCATCTTTGATGATACCAGCCCAAACCAGTACTCCACCTCCACCTTGCTGGCGTCTGAGTCGGACTGGAGCTCTCTGCCCTTTACCAATCCAGCCACGGGCCCATCCATCTGGCCCATCAAGACTCACTCTCATTTCATCAGTCCATAAAACCTTAGAAAAACCAGTCTTGAGATATTTCTTGGCCCAGTCTTGACGTTTCAGCTTGTGTGTCTTGTTCAGTGGTGGTCGTCTTTCAGCCTTTCTTACCTTGGCCATGTCTCTGAGTATTGCACACCTTGTGCTTTTGGGCACTCCAGTGATGTTGCAGCTCTGAAATATGGCCAAACTGGTGGCAAGTGGCATCTTGGCAGCTGCACGCTTGACTTTTCTCAGTTCATGGGCAGTTATTTTGCGCCTTGGTTTTTCCACACGCTTCTTGCGACCCTGTTGACTATTTTGAATGAAACGCTTGATTGTTCGATGATCACGCTTCAGAAGCTTTGCAATTTTGAGACTGCTGCATCCCTCTGCAAGATATCTCACTATTTTTGACTTTTCTGAGCCTGTCAAGTCCTTCTTTTGACCCATTTTGCCAAAGGAAAGGAAGTTGCCTAATAATTATGCACACCTGATATAGGGTGTTGATGTCATTAGACCACACCCCTTCTCATTACAGAGATGCACATCACCTAATATGCTTAATTGGTAGTAGGCTTTCGAGCCTATACAGCTTGGAGTAAGACAACATGCATGAAGAGGATGATGTGGACAAAATACTCATTTGCCTAATAATTCTGCACTCCCTGTAACGCCGAGCTCCCATTACTGACTTTTCTAACGGTTTCTACTCACCTCATCATAACATTTAGGATTTTGTGTTTGCTCATGTTTGCTAAAAACTGCAGCTGGAAACATAAAGATGGAGATCTGAGGAAGACTCCAGCATGCAGCTGGAAGCTCACCTCATGAGTCATCTGAAGTTTGAAAAAAGCTTTGAAGAGCTAAAAAGTGGATCTTTTAGTCTTTGAACTCAAGAATTAATTCATGTTTATTTAACAGGAAGTGAAAATTGGTGAAGGTTTTCAAATCTAGTCTGAATATCCTGTTTATTCTAACAGTCGATACGTATTGATGTGGCTCAGTCTGTTAGCTCAGTTACTGTTTTAAAGATCAGCTGGAGAGGTCTGTTGGTTACTGCTCATTTCTGGTATTTTATGTAGTTTAGCTGTAATTTCTTTTCTAATTTTGTGACATTTTTTGAGGTTTTTATACATTTTATTGCAGTAAATCCCATTAGAACTGTCTCAGTGTGGAGACTTTATTTGAATTTACTAAAATGTGATTTTGAGTGAACGGTCCCATTGATGTGTGACTCTGCAGACATGTTGTCAAACCTCGCTGGTGCTGCTTTAAAAAGTGTCCTCGACCCTGAATCCACACAACAGGCTCGCACATACTTGATGTAATTGGCTCCTGATTGTCCCATTAACCTCTGAGGGGGTTCTGTGTAACAGATCCATAATGCCCTCACCCCCCCCCCCTCCAGCTGGCCCTGATTGTAATGACTGGCCTCTCCTGCTGACATGTCTGCAGAGAAGAGGGCAGGATGGTCCAGGGACCCTTAATTTGGGTGATATCCTGGCTACAGGGGGCGGGGTCATGTAGGTCAGTAGAACAGGTGTCCTGTCAAACAATGTGAGAGAGAGTTGGTCGTTACAGCCCTCAGCTGAGCATCCACACGTTGTTCTTATTTTTAAATTCTGCTTGGCGACTGTTTGATGACGAAGCTTTTGAATCAAAATGGTCAGAGTAAGGTCAGGATGTGTTTTCATCTCTCCCTCTCTCTCTCTGACAGAACAAGAGGAGAACTTTGAGTTCACCATCGTGTCGCTGACGGGGCAGACGTGGCACTTTGAAGCCACTTCCTACGAGGAGCGCGATGCCTGGGTTCAGGTCATCGAGAGCCAGATCCTGGCGAGTCTGCAGTCCTGCGAGAGCAGCAAGAACAAGGTGAGCCGAGTTCTCCTGGAGCCTTTCAGTCTCTTCATCGCACCATTTTCACATTTGTCCACATCAGGACCAACAAACATGCGAAATCGCCCTTTAATGCACACAAACACACACACGCGTGTTCACTCACATAATTAGAAAATAGCAATTACTGTAGCTCACATTGAGCCTCAGCATTGCCATTTTCCACCTGCAGCAGGCGGCTGCGTCTCATTCGAGGCCTGATGTGTTTACGCCTCAGGCTCTCAGCCTTTTTATTGCCCTCCCACCCAAAAAGAAAGAAGAAGAAAAAAGACGCCGGCCCCCCCTCCCTTCACCAATTCCATTTGTGTATCGTGTTGTTCCTTCACTCTCCGACATTGATGCTCATAACCCAAAACAGCAGCGACTCACATATGCTCAGTGTTTTAAACATTTTTAGCCTAATTGAGAGACAGCGCTGTCAAGAACACAAGAGGTTGATCAGTGTTTAAATCCTATTTTTTTCTCCCTCAAACTGTAAAGTAAACATTTAGTCAAGAAAAGACGTGAGCCAGAACTGTTTTTTTTCTTCTTCTTTGTTTCAGTCTCGTCTGACAAGCCAGACAGAGGCGATGGCTCTGCAGTCGATCCGAAGCATTCGAGGGAACGGTCGCTGTGCCGACTGCGACACACCGAGTGAGTACAAACCACCCACAGTGTCAACAAAACCTTCACTAACACAACCATTACCCTTCAGTTTACTTCCTAAAAATAAACCATCAGACAGGTCAAGAAAGATGATTCTTAGGGTTCACGCAAGAATGCCTTCTGAGTATCTTCTTAATGGTCAGAGTTAAACTAGACTGAAAGGATTAATTATGTGTAAATGTGACACCATCCAAGAATGGGTCCAGTTATTTCAAGGAGTTGCATAATTTAAGTCCAATTCCTGAAACTCCGTCCATCCTTTAGGTTGTTGTGCAGGATGTTCAGCCTCTCACTGTCCAACTTAGGCTACGTTCACACTGCAGGTCTTAATGCTCAATTCCGATTTTTTCTGTCTGCTTGTTCACACTACAAATAAAATGTGACAGCAAACCCGCTCTAGTGTGAACGCTCAAAGCGGCACGCGTGCGCAAAAAAAGACGTCACACACAACGCACTCTGTTTAGACCCAAACCAAACAGTATTATTTGAATGATGGCCGTTAATATAAAGACTTGTTTCGGACTTTACGTTTCCCAATTTTGCTTTAAGTTATAAAGTTATTTTGTTATTTACATATGGCCTAATAATTATCCTTATTGCTGTTTTAGAGAGGAGCGGTGCTTCAAAGGATAGTTGCTGATTTCTGTCAGAATCTGCAACTATCTATGTACTTATACAGTACAAATAAAATGTTCACGTTTCTCCAACGTTGTCTTCCCAACACTTTCACTAACATCTACACGGGATGACCAGGAAGCGTTCGCGATGTCTTCTCGGGCGCTTCTCCGGTGCTGATAATTGGCGTCTGTCTTGTGTCAGTGACGTAAAAGACGGATTTAATGCGACATGACCGTTCAAACAGCAGTCGCTTTCTAAAACATCAGATATGTATCGGATTCAGTACCACAAATGAAAGTGACCCAGATCGGATTTGAAAATATCGGATTTGTGCCGTTCACACTGTCATACCATGATCGGATATGGGTCGCATAGGGTCAAAAAAGTCGGATTTGATGCGCTTTTGCCTGCAGTGTGAATGTAGCCTTAGAGATGCAATCTCTCCCAGCAAGCAGGCCAATATTGTGAGCTTTTCTCAGATCATAATTCTTACAAATGCTCTTTTTGCCCATTTTTGAGACAATAGGAAGGAAGAATACAGTAATGCCTACATTCTTTCTTTATCACGTCACATTTAAACCGAAACCAAAAGAAAGAACTTAAGATATAAAATGACGGAGGTCATTTCCAGTTTTGTCCATTTGTTCCCGAATTAGATTTTTTTCGGATTTCAGTTATTGATTACAGACAAAGAAGGTCTGTAATGATGACCAAGGTCTAAAATTCTTCTAGCCTTGTTAGCCACCTTCTACCTACAAATAAAGAGCAATGATTGTCCGGTGCTGGCTTTTACCAACTGTTTAAATTTCATGTCTTGATCTTCCTCTGCAAACACAGTTTAAATAGATAAACTTCCTCATTGACCTTTAAAATAAAGGTTGTTTATCCAGAATTCTTACTTTTTAGGAACTCTTTTAATAATCTTTGTTTGTTATAACATATTTACATACATATTTATATACATAAACAATTAAACCGAAGTTCTTTTTTTTTTTCCCCAAAAAGGGTATATTGTCTTTAATAGAGTGAACTTGTCTCCTTCAGACCCGGACTGGGCAAGTCTGAATCTTGGGGCCCTGATCTGCATTGAGTGCTCGGGAATCCACAGGAACCTGGGCACTCACCTGTCCAGGGTTCGCTCTCTAGACCTGGATGAGTGGCCGCTGGAGCTCATCAAGGTGATGTCGGCCATTGGCAACGAGTTGGCCAACAGCGTGTGGGAGGCCAACGCTCAGGGACGCCTTAAACCTGGACCGGACGCCAGCAGGTAGGAAATGTAGAAAACATCTAAGGAAAAGAGTTTGGCTCCACTGGGAGGTTTGAATTGGAAGTGTAGTCTGAAGGAATGACGAGATTCTAAAGATGACTGTGGTTGTTTCTGGTGCAGCAGGAAGTGACAGGATTACATCGAAGCTACAAGGAATAATTTCTCATAATCTCTCATCTCTCAGGTCAGGGCAGCAGTCCTGACGTTGCTTATTGGTTGGAAGTACTACTGTTTTTAAATAAATAGTGAATAGACAAGGACCCAGACATGAGCCTTGTGGAACGCCATTTCTAAAACTGTCTCCAAGAGAGAAGACATTCAGCAAAAACTTTACTTCCTATAAAGTGAGTCATTGTTGTGCTAGATCTTAGATCTCATTTTTTGTATATTGAAAGTTGGATATCAGTGCAGTGCTGCCAGCTGCAGGCAGGGAGCAGTGTTTCAGTGTGTGGCTCAGCAGGGTTCACACTGAGTGTGTTGATATTGACAGAAATGTCACACAATAAAAAGCCCACCTCTGTGTGTGCACTGTCTTGTAGACTACAGGGGATAGTAACAAATCGGTGAACTTCAGCGTGACGTTGGTGTTGATCAGCATGTACCTGCATGTTTGTGTGTGTGCGTGTGCGTGCATGCTGTGTAATTATCGGATGCTGCAGCCCTGGGAAGCCAGCAGCCATCATAACAAATTAGAGCTGACTGCCATCCGCATGAAGATCGACTTCCCCCCTCCACTCGCCCCCCTGACGCTCATTAGTCAACAGAAGCACTTTATAATTACTCCCCTCCAACACACACTGATGCACACTCACTTATATATACACAAACATTTTTACCCTACATGCACCGAGACAAAACAAATACATGTAAACAAATGAATATTACAAGCAGTGTTCCTTTAGTGAGTCCAGCTATCCGAAATATCTTCAACATGCCAACTCAAGCAGCACAACAACTGTATGAAAACTGTACACACAGCTATACTTTCTGCTGTGCTTTTTTGAGATTTAGTGCTTGTGTCACTTATTACTCGTCCTCTTAACAAAGGTTTAAATGTGTCAGACTTAATTGTATTAATTTCAGAGAAAATATAAATTCCTGATCGTGGACCCATCATCCTAATCAATTAAACATACGTTGAGCTGAAACTGCAATGCAATCATAGTAACAAAATTTACAAAGTCCTTCATATTTTCAGCTAACAGAGAAACTTGAAGGATTTTATTCTTGATTACATTTATGCTTAACTAGTTTATGGTTTGGGGTTTTTTTCTGCTAAAAACAAAAGCAGACAAAAATATTCATGCAAGATCTTCACAGCCTAGTAATAAGACTTGAATCTCAGGTTAGTGTGCATGAGAAATCAAATTTTCAGTATAAAAACAATGTAAACGTACTCACAATAATTTTTAAATAACTACATTAAAGCCAAATTAATATCAGTAAGAATTAAAGTGATGCGAGTGAATACAGCACTTAAAAATATGTATACAATAAATCAAAATCCAGGTTAAAGTTGGACATAAAAACACAAGGAGATGCCTACAGTCAATATATTTGAGTTCAGCTTTACGACTGTATCTGCTTAGCTGAATACACACAACACAAAAACACACACACTCACTCACACTGAGCGATCCTTGGATATCGACGTGCCATTAGCCCTCCTCCATCAGAGCACTAATGCTTTTATTGTTGCTCATGTTCCTATTTATTTATGAATCTGAAGCATGTTTCCCCCTGAAGAGATTAGAGGAGGAGGTCAATATTATCTCAATTAACCCGCGACGCTCCACTGCAGCTCCATCTCTCTCCTCCCCTCTCTCCCCCATCGCTGTCCTGTCGATAGTATTTATCAGTCCATTCCTTAAGTGGCTCGCTGTTTGTCGTTTCCCCTCCATAAATCCTGGTTTTCTTTCTATCTTTACTCCTCCTTCTCTGATTTTTCCATCGTTTCTCCACCTCTGACTGCTATTTTTTACCCTGTGACTTCTACACCTTCTGTGACTGGCTTTTTTTAGTCCTGCATTTCACCTCTAAGATTACACAAAGGCTATTTTAACCCTCCCGATGTTAAAGCTGGAAACCTGTTTTGTTCTGGGCACTCAAAAATTACTCAAGATTTAATTATTAACCCTCTAGTAAGACATTCACCTAATAATTGTTTATTTTCCTATTGTATTGTACTATTAGTCTAAACAAAATAAGCAAATGAAAAGACACTTTTTCTAAATTATAAGTCAGGGTGTTGTGTGAAATTTTTACACTGATAGTGGCTACTATAAGGTTGTTTAACAGCATCTGTGTTTCCAAATCCACACCTGAATTTTTCTTAAATTTTCTCACAGGTTTTAAACTTATGTGTATAACAGGATGTAGTTGAAGTGCTAAAATGCTGCCTTTGTCCCTCATCATAGTAGTATTTATCCATGGAGGGGTCTCTCACACGTTCCCTGAGACACAGTGGGAGGAAGGCGTGGAGCTTTTATGACAGCTTTATGGAGTGCCAGTGACGGTCTATGAAATGATATGTAGAAGCTGTGTCACCGAGGTTGCATTCACTCAACGCCTACTGCTCCTCTGAAATTACAAACCATCGCTGGGGTTACAGGCATGTAACTGCTGATAAATACAAACCAATACAGTCGCACTAAAAACACAAAACTTGTGTGGAGGGGGTTAAAAAACATCATATGCTATGCTAACCATCAATGATATTTTCTTAGCCTTCAAGAGAGTATCAGCTGCATATAAATATAGTAGAAATTGATAATTACCTTGATTTGTCAAACGGTGGTCTTGCTGGAGCCACTTAACATTGTTTTATTCCTCTGGGCACCCATTTAGGTTAAATTTTTAACTGTTAGATTTAAATAGAAGTCCACAATAACATGGGGGAGAAGCTATTGAGAACTGGTACATATTTGCCTTCTCAGATCACACGATTCTGGCACAACTTCACTTCATGGAGAAGAGCAAGCATTTAAAAATCCTGAAATTCTAACATTTGTGCTATGAAGAACAACTTCATTGCTTGACCAACATGTCCTGGCCTGTAGCCTTCGAAGGAAGAGTCGATCAGATTAATGAAATGTTGTAGTTAAACTGTGTAACTTCAGAAAATAGTGTAAATGTGGCCAGATTTGAGTTACACTCAAAAGTAAATAAACCTAAAATCGACATGAGGATGAGGAGTTGTGGAGCCCCACTCTGCTGTTGACATATTTACCATTTTTGGTATGGAAATGCATCTACTTACATCATTTAGTGGCTTAACGTCCTCTTGCATTGTGCACTAAATTACTGCAAATATGTGAAAACATCATCCAAATCATAAATCTCTCCACATTCAACAAGAACTGTGACTAAAACCTGTGTAAAAGAAGAGGAATTGGTTGAGGAACGAGACAAGGCCGGCAGAGGCTTTGTCCAGGCAGCAGGAGGGATGGGAGGGAGAGTAAGGGAAGAGGAGGTTGGGAGGGGTGGCTGATAGATGGAAAAATGCCCTCCCCTCGTGGTCTCTCAAGTGAGTAATAGAGGCCGAAATTTCATTTTGCAAGTGGCTGATTTAATGATCCAAAGGGTAATTAATGGCCTGATTATCTTAATGTTAAATATGGCCAGCAGCAATTACGCTGACCTCCTGTCTGTCAAGGTCTGGCCCCCCACTCTCGCCTCCCAATTAGGTCCTGTTTGGAGGTTTGGTGGGGGGGTGGAGAGAAGGAGGAAGAGTGAGAATTAGAGGAAAGGAAAGGAATGGACGGAAGAAAGAGGAAGCGTGTAGAATGGCAGAACAAGAGGGAGGTACAACGAAAGGTGAGGGGAAGATAGGTAGAAAACAAAGAGGAGGCAGAAATTTGGAGGGAAAAAAGAAGTGATGCTGGGAGGAGGTTGGAAGGATGAGAAGAGGAGGCGCATTAGTATGACCGTCAGTATTAAACTCCTCCATTTTTCTTCTCTCCTCCCCTCCTCTGTCAACTCCCCCGGTGGACCGGAGGGAGAAATTATGTTCGGAGAGATCGCGCCTCACCTCCGTGGCGTCGCCCCCCCCATCCAATGAGATATGTGACAGGGCCGAGCCCCGCCATCTCCAGCTGTTGTCATCATCTCTTTATCTTCCCCGGTTCGTCCTCCTCCCCGCGCGTCTGCCCACAGCGACGGCTGGTCCAGGTCTCATTAACATCAGCGAGTCGCGGTGAGGATGAGGAGCGAGTACTGTCGCTGCTAATCGTTTTAGGGCTGGAGCTCATCGCGCCGAATGCAAGGTCTTGCCACGCCTGCTCAACGCTGCAATGCTTCACAGTGAGGGGAGATACTTGTTGACGTGCGTTGCTCGCAGTGGCAAAGAAGGGAACAGGGCAGGTTGGGTACAGTGTGGATGAACACCAACTGTGCCAGCTCTGCTGCGCCAGAGGGATCCTGTTAGAAGTATTTATTTTCTTGCTGCTCACAAACCACAAAAAGGCTCCGTTGTCCTCTAAACGTTCCCATTAACCTCTGGCTGCCCCGCGGTCAGCCGTCATCACCTCAGCTGGCGTGGTTGCCCGGTGCCACGGCCCAGCTGAGGCCACCGCTGAAGGGGCTGCTAAGTTTGGGCTCTCTGCCCATCCCGGAGCACCCACAGGGGCCTCGCAGGCTCCGTCGACACTGCTGCCGCAACACCCCGAGTCTCCGGTTCTCGGCGCCGCGGCTCATTGTTTTAATTACGTGTCAAGTGGCGCATCAACACCAGCACCTTAGGCCTGCTCGGGCTCAGCGTGTTAGCAGGCCTGAGCGGACAGCAAGTGACAGCACCGCTAATCCAAGCTCCTGGCCACTGGACTGGGAAGGTGATTGCTGGCAACATGGTTGGCGGCTCCCTCCCTCCCCCTCCACCGTTACTTCTCTCACGCCAACTGCTGACCTTTGGTAGTCTGTCGCAGAGGGTCAGCGTCTTCCCCTGTTTATGTACACACACACACACACACATCTGAGTATGCTCAAAGCCTGTGTTCATTGTT